CCTGAAGCTCTTGCTGCACCTCGCCGACCTGAGACCCAAGTCTGTCTCGCTCGGTGTGCTCTGCGGCCGTTTTCTTTTCGGCCTCAGACATCGCCTGCTTAAGGGTCGCCACCTCAGCCGTGGCCCCTACAATAAGCAGTACAATCCTGTTACTCTTTTTGCAATCAAGCCTTTTTATAGGCACTTTTTCTGTAAGGTATTTCTTACCTTCTTCTTCCTCGAGCCGCCGCTTGGCAAGGCCGAGCTCTTGCTCGGTCCGCTCAAGGTCCTGCTTCAGGACACCCACCTCCGCAGTCAGTGCGGCAGTGGATAGCAGCGAAGCCTGCATACGCATATTGACTCTTTTTTTAGACTCCTGCGAAATTTAATAGATCCTTTATTCGGCTTTTCTTTCCGAACGCCAAACAGAGCATCAGAGGCTACTGTCTATGCAGTAATATTTTTACATATTTTTACTTACCTCGAAGCCTATTAGAAGGCTAGCGCAAGCTTCAGTCAGTCCGCTCTTGGCGGACTGAACCTTCTGGATCATCGTACTCATAATAGTACGGTGCCCCTCGTCAATGGAGGTGTCGTCAAGCACCTCCAGCAGATTGTCCGGCACCTCTGGTTGGACGGAGGCCGCCGGCTCAGAAGGCTTGCTCCTCTTGGAAGGAGTTCACCTACCATGGTCCGGAACTGTGGAAGATTCCGGCGCGGTGTCCGGCACAAAGCCGGACTGAGAGCCCTAGGGAGCCTTATCCCCTTCACTCCTGGAGTCCGAGAGGTTGCCTTGCGGCTCCTCCGGGACCACCTCCTCCTGCCCCGGAGCTTGTCGCGACGCCACTTCGGTGTCGTCTGCAGTGCAGGGGGAGACAGCGGGCGGAACTGAGTTCACGTCCGATGAGTCCAGGGAGCCGCCCGACGATTCGTCAAATTCGGCCCGGGGCGGACTGCATAATTACATTCGACATTAGGGAAAGCTGTGCAACAAAGGAACATACTCTGATATCCGAACTTACGATTTCGCCGGACGCTTGGCCCTATTTGGCCACTCCTCTTTGCCCTCTTCGGCATTGGGGGCGTAGTCCGGTGGAGGGGTCTTCCTTTTCCTAGACCCCTCGGCCTCCCCCGTTGGGGCAGCCTTCCTCTTCTCTCCTCCCTCCGCTGGGGGGGGGGGAGTTTTCTTCTTCCTCCTCCTTGTTTTCGCGGGAGCAGGGCGTCTCGGACTCGTCAGATGATGAGTCCGACACCACCACGTTGCGGGCACCCTTTCGAGTCCCCGTGGTCTTCTTCTTCTTGGCCTTCTTCTCCGGCACCACATAAGGCGTCGGAACCAGCAGCTTCACTAGTAGAGCTGGGGCTGGGTCTTCGGGCAGCAGAGCCGGACAGTTAATCGGTCCGGATATCGCCCGCCAAGCCTGTCAAAGGTAAGGGAGTTTAGATCCCGCATAGAGTCAAACTATGAAAAAAGCTTAACATCATGTAAAAGGTGTAGATGGCTTACCTCGCTAGCGTGACGCTGCGAGCTGTATCCGCGGTCTTCGGAAGCGGATGCGGGAGCCTCGGCGCCCTTGAATAGCATCTTCCAGGCATCTTCGTACGTCGTGTTGAAGAGCCTGCTGAGGGTTTGATGCTGTGCCGGGTCGAACTCCCACAGATTAAAATCCCGTTGTTGGCACGGGAGGATCCGGCGGACGAGCATAACCTGGATTACATTAACAAGCCGGATTGGCTTGTTCACCAGGGACTGGATGCATGTTTGCAATCCGGTCACCTCTTTTTCGTCACCCCATGACAGGCCCGTCTCTTTCCAGGACATAAGCCGCGTGGGGGGTCCGGATCGGAACTCGGGGGCTGCGGTCCATTTCGGATCGCGCGGCTCGGTGATATAAAACCACCCAGATTGCCATCCCTTTAGGGTCTCCACGAAAGAGCCCTCGAACCATAGGACGTTGGCCATCTTGCCCGCCATGGCGCCTCCGCACTCCGCCTGGCTGTCGCGCATCACCTTGGGCTTGACGTTGAAGGTCTTGAGCCAGAGGCCGAAATGGGGGCGGACGTGGAGAAAAGCCTCGCACACGACGATAAACGCCGAGATGTTGAGGATGAAGTTCGGAGCCAGATCGTGGAAATCTAGGCCGTAGTAGAACATGAGCCCCCGGACAAATGGGTGGAGTGGAAAACCCAGTCCGCGTAGGAAGTGGGGGAGAAATACTACCCTCTCATGGGGCCTTGGGGTGGGGAGAAGCTGCCCCTCTTCGGGAAGCCGGTGCGCGATGTCCTTGGACAGGTATCTGGCCTTCCTTAGCTTCTTGACTTTACCCTCCGTGGCGGAGGAGACCATCCACTTGCCTCCCGCTCCGGACATTGCTGGAGAAGGTTGAGGTGGGAAGTGCGGGCTTGGGCGCTGGAGCTCGGGTGCGCAAGAGATGGATAGGCAAAGGAGGAAGAAGGCGTAGGTAAAAAGGTGGATCCTTGTCCCCTTATATGGGCGGATGCGGTTGTGCGTCCCCACCTGCCTAGTAAAACTTGCTTGCCTCCCAAGCGCCGTGATAAGTGGCGCAGTTGGGTTACCCACGTCCGTATTGATGAGAATCCTGTAAAAGGGGGGTACACGATCTCTGCTTTGACAAGACGTGCCAAGGAAACCGCCTCGCAAAACACGCTGAGGTGGAAAAGTGAAAACGATTCGAGTGAAGGACTTGGCTGTAGTGTGATGACGCACTGCGGAATACGTCAGCAGATTTGATTTGTGTTAATATTATTTTCTCTATGGCAATATGTGGAAGCTTATTTTACAGAGCCGGACATTATTTTTGGTGTTTACAATCTTCTATGAAGGACTTGGAGGAGGAACCCGCCTTGCAATGCCGAAGACAATTTTCGCGCCGGACTCGTCGTCATTGAAGCCTGGTTCAGGGGCTACTGAGAGAGTCCTGGATTAGGGGGTGTTCGGGTAGCCGGACTATACCTTCAGCCGGACTCCTGGACTATGAAGATACAAGATTGAAGGCTTCGTCCCGTGTCCGGATGGGACTTTCCTTGGCGTGGAAGGCAAGCTTGGCGATGCGGATATTCAAGATCTCCTACCATTGTAACCGACTTTATGTAACCCTAACCCTATCCGGTGTCTATATAAACCGGAGGGTTGTAGTCCGTAGGCAATCAACTCCATATACAACAATCATACCATAGGCTAGCTTCTAGGGTTTAGCCTCCTTGATCTCGTGGTAGATCTACTCTTATACTACTCATATCATCAATATTAATCAAGCAGGACGTAGGGTTTTACCTCCATCAAGTGGGCCCGAACCTGGGTAAAACATCGTGTTCCCTACCTTCTGTTACCATTCGGCCTAGACGCACAGTTCGGGACCCCCTACCCGAGATCCGCCGGTTTTGACACCGACAGTCACTACAAAAATCCAACGAGAGAATTGGTTGGAAGAAAGAGCGGGTCAGTCGGACACGGAGAGGAAAGCGAATTCGTGGTCTTCGCTTTGGAGCATGGTAGTTCCTTCGAAGGTCAAGATCTTTGTCTCGAGGTTAGCTCGACACTCCTTGCCAACGGCGGATGTGCTGAAGCATCGCAACATGGCTGATCGGAATGCATGCCCACTCTGCGGGTGTGTGGATTCGTGGCGCCATGCATTAATATCCTGTACAAATGCCAGATGCACTTGGGCGCTCACTGATGACAATCTAGTATCTAAAATGACAGCGAACACTGAATCCAGTGCTAAGAATTGGCTTTTTGAAATTAATGATGTGTTGGACCAGAAGGAGTTTGCACGGATGGTTATCACATTATAGTCTATATGGTATGTGAGGCGAAAGGCAATACATGAGGCAATCTTTCAAAGTCCATATCAGGTTTTCTCTTTTGTCAACTCCTACATAAATGAGCTAGATCAACTTCCGAAAGCTGGGGCTATTAAACCAGCGAGTGTACCTTCCAGGAATGTGCAGCAACGTTGGATACCTCCATCGATCCACACCAAGAAAATCAATGTAGATGGTGTTGTGGCCCGCCATCGACGTGGAGGAGCAGTAGCTGCGATTTGTCAAGACCACTCTGGAGCTTACTTGGGGTCGTCCGCGGTGGTGTTTCGAGGAGTAAATGATATGGTGATCCTGGAATCTTATGCATGTAGGGAGGGGCTTGCACTTGCAGAGGACCTGGATATTCAGCAACTACTGATAGCATCAGACTGCCAGAATGTAGTCAAGGACATAAATCAGGGCACGGGAGGACCACATTCGGCAATTGTTCATGAAATAGTAGCTCGTAGAACTAGCTTCAGTTTCTGTAATTTCGTTCATGAGCATAGGAGTCATAATTTTGAGACTCACAATCTCGCCAAGTTTGCTTGTAACCTTGGCTTAGATAGACATGTTTGGTTGGGGGTTCCTCATGACCCAAACCGTGTACCTATGAACATTTTTGAGCATCAATACAGACACAAGCGCTCATATACACGCGCATACACTCACCCCTATGAACGCACACACGCACACCCTACCCTTATGAGCACCTCCGAGAGACTGAGCCGGCATATCATCTTGAGATTTACGAAGTCACCGTAGGCGCATCATCGTCGACGGGTGGGGATACCACTGTCCACCTAACCAACTCAACCACAGGTTGATTCCCGTGTACCTATGAACATTACTATTCAATAAAGTGGCGAGATTTCTCAAAAAAAAACCTACGAGTTTTTTTTAGACAAACAAATTCACTAGCAGACACGTTGACGAGACCTGACGCAATGACGAGGGACTCCTTGATGAAGATGAAGATGAATACGGCCCGAGTCCGACTCCTTGATGAATACGGCCCGAGTTTACGATACCACCACCACTCCCGCCGTCCCAATAAATAGCCCCGGCCGGTTCCCAGCCCCAGCCCAAGACGCAAACGAGCTCCCATCTTTCGTTCTGTCTTACGCCGCAACGTTTCTCGCTAGGTTTCGCTAGGGTTTCGATCGTATCGCGTTCGCCTCCCAATCCTCGGATCGATGGCGGCCACGGAGGGCGAGAAGAAGATTACGCTCAAGAGCTCGGAGGGCGAGGAGTTCGAGGTCGACAAGGCGGTCGCCATGGAGTCCCAGACTATCCGCCACATGATCGAGGACGAGTGCGCTGACAACGCCATCCCGCTCCCCAACGTCAACTCGAAGACCCTCTCCATGGTCATTGAGTACTGCAAGAAGCATATCCAAGCCAGCCCCAAGCCGGCCGACTCCGGCGCAGCCGCCGACGCCAGCTCCTCCGCTTCTGCGGCAGCCGCGGCGCCAGCCCCCACCGAGGACATGAAGAGCTGGGACGCTGAGTTCATCAAGGTCGACCAGGCCATCCTCTTCGACCTCATCCTGGCTGCAAATTACCTTGACATCAAGGGATTGCTGGACCTTACTTGCCAGACTATTGCCGACATGATCAAGGGCAAGACTCCCGAGGAGATCCGCAAGACCTTCAACATCAAGAATGACTTTACACCGGAGGAGGAGGCCGAGATCCGCAGGGAGAATCAGTGGGCTTTTGAGTAGAGAAGCATATATAGGCGTTGAATTCTGCTTAGTATTCGTCATGTACACGTTTAGGAGCTGCTTTTTTAGTTTTTATTAACTCGTTGTAATTCTTCGGAACTCGTTGGGGTCGTTAAACATTGTAGAGAAGAGAAACAGTGCTGCGTTGAATTAATGCCTTAGTATTCGTCATGTGTCCACATTTGAAACATTTTTTTTTTGAAATTTCTTTACTTCAAGTGGATGTGTTATTTGTATCTTTAGACGATTTATGTCGTGTGATTTGAGATTAACAAAACAAAGGACATGATGCCATCATCGAGTCATAAACTCGACAGCTACGTTTTGGTATGGTGACCATTTAGAACCAGTAGAACTTTGAGGACAAGTGATAGAAGACTATCCCTATATACAAACATATTTTTCTCGAAACAGAAGCTTTGTCTCATCGATTAATTAAGAGAGGAGAATATAGCTACTCCCACACACATCCCCAAGTTACAAAAGTCAATCTCCGGATATGACCCAATTTTTGTTGCTCCCACAATAACCCAAAGTTTTACTTATCTCTTGATCATGCCAAAGATGACCCCGGCGGCGGGGTAGATTTCTGTTGAAAAACCCATGCATTCCTCTCATCTCAAATTTGTCCAAACCAAGGAGCTCAAGCATGACTTATTTCGTGCACTGAGAGCACCCACCTTCATGAGGGTGTGGATTATTACTTGGTATCGAAGCATACGGAGAGCGGGCCATTGGCCTCGGCATATAACGCACAATTCATTAGGTCAACAAGCACAACTTTGTGATGTTCCATTTGGGGTGCTTGGGCTCGGGTGGTTAGATTCCTTGTTGTGGAACCAGCCTATTAGGGTTCAATTTCTAGACCTAGGATTGATGCCCGTGTTTTCCTGGATTTATCTCAGTATTTCCTACGACGTCCGTTCAGTGGAAGTGATTATACTGTGTCTAGAAAGAAAAAAAGAACACTATAGTAGCTTAGCTAGGTAAACATGTTTCACTCTACCCTCGGAATGAAGTTTCTCATGGTGTTTTGAACTCGTTTCTTTTTGTCTCCCCATATGTAAATTAGTTTGTGTTGGTTTGAGCTAGCTTCCCTAAAAGAACTTGTGGTTTGAGCTGGCCGTCCTTGTTGTAGAATGGTTAAACGAGTTGGTCCTCAGCATGCCATGGTGACCTGAATGTCAACGACAACGCTGTGGGTCACGGCACAATAATGTACTGGATCAGCATTTAGAACGTCTGCATCGAGGTGGCTTCAAGTTCAGACACCGCCAGTACAATCATCATCGCATCCAGAAACACATGCATTTCCGGAGGTCATCCGAACAAATCACATAGCGGAAGAAACACACAAAGTGGCCAAAAGAGATGAGAAACAGCCAAAGATTTATTGGCCTTGATACAACAAACATACAATCAGGCTGCAACCAACCACACGCAACAAGAGGAGAAGGAGATGCAACCCCCATCCTCCCTATCCAAGAACACAAGAACACAAGGGAGATCACAAGAACAAAACCCTCCTGCCTACCTGAACTAAACAATAGAAACCTACAGAGCCAAGAAGTGTGAATGGGGGGACTCCATGCCAGCCGACGGCGGCCTCTCCTCCTCCTCCTACGGCATGAGCAGGAAGAAGAAAAGCTCCAGATCGATTCTTCTCCGAAGATACTTCTCCGCCGGTCCCCTACATGTTTGAGAAGAGATTGTAATGCATCGTCATCTTGCCTCGGCCAATGATTCTTCTCCGAAGATACTTATACCCCAAGTATCAGCACGCTTTTTCAGAGGCTCAGCCGCTCTAACCTGACCTGGTTTGGAACTTCTCATCTGGCTTTCTGAACTTTGAAAGGTGTCCTGCGTTGATAGAGATCGGGTGCTCTGAACCTGGACGCCTTCTTGTAGCTTTTCACTCTGTTGTATGGTCTTGGGATTTGGGAATATTAGTCATCGATTCTGTAGTGGCAGAGAGCATGTTGCAATCACAGTATCCTTTGCTTTTCTCCCTTTATGCTGCCTGCCCATACAGTCACGCATAATGAGACAGACAACTAACCCACTGGATTAGACAGATTTTCTAAAGGTGTTCTAGCATTATTTGTTTATAGCCTGTATATGATGATGCCCTTTGATAAACTGATGAAACCTGTAAGTTCCGCGGACCACCGACATGAAAAAGATAAGTAAAATACTTTGTACAAAATCAGCGACAATTAATATGGATCGGAGGGAGTATTTCGGTTACTTTTAAAACGATCTAAGCCTCAGCTCACATGTCACTAGTTAAGCTCATCAAGGCTGAATTCCTAATAACGAACCATTAATACATCATCTCCACACTTTCTGCTTCTGTTCTTTCAATATGGACTATTTACGTGTGGCACGCACTATTGGCGCTTTTCAAAGAAGCTACCAAGTGAAAAGTAGAGCACTAGTACAGTGGAAAGCCATCTAGTTACTGAACCGGCTGTGAAATGTTCAACGCCACAGACGGCCAAAACGTTTTCTCTTCTTCTTCTGCCTCTAAAGCAGCCTGATCGATCACTTTATCAAGATAGATACTGCAACAACCACATCCATCCATGAGGTTTATCAAACATTTTCTGCAACAAATTAAGCAAAGTTTACCTGGACTCCCACCCCGTATGTCTCTCCCCTGTCTTGCAACAGGCACAAGCTTTGAGCCGGTTGGCATAATAATTATAATGTGATCTCTGCATCTCGTTGCATGTGAAAGAAGGGCATATTCGTGGACAGAAACCTAGCAACGACGACGACACTGATCTCTTGCTTGCTGCTCGAAGAAATAAGGAATTTGCAGGGTCGGCAAGCACCTTTGATCCGTGATCTTTTGCACGATTCAGAGCTGCAAATCTAGCTGAGTTGTGCTGCACAAAAAGGCCACATCTCACGAGATTCCCTTGGCTATAGCTAGCTAGTTCATTCTAACCTAGGCTACATCAGGGCTAGGTTCATTGCCAGGTTCATGGATCCAACACCAAGACCATGTATTTCCTCCATTCCACACCACAGTCCACAGGAGGCAACATACTTTGCTACTTGATCTTTGGTCATAGACTTATAAATAGCAGCCGCCTATGCACTCATCAACAGACGCAGATTAAACAAGTGAAATGTGGTCCATGGCAGATGAACAAGAGTCTTAGGTAGCTACTTTGGTTGGTTGTCACCTGGAGTTCTCCTCAAATCACTTCAGTTGCTAGCTTATGCCTAATTGTTGCATTGGCACTGCTTTAAAGTGTGCATTGCAGGGATAAGCGAGGCGTGCATAGTGAAGTTTTTGGGGGAACTCTGGGTGGCAACCAACAGTTTCAACGGGTTTGAGAGTGTTTGAGCTTTAGAAATTATAGTGGTAGGTCCACGTGCATTATGATGGGTGTGTGGGCATTAATCGAGTTTGGCCTCATCAGGAGTTCTCTTGAAGCACTTCAGGATGCATCTTTTCAAGAACTTTTCTGAAGTGTTTGGGAGAACTCTTGGTGTCACCAAGCATTCAATAGACATTGGCCACATATCATAAGACAGATGCACCAATGGACCGAGAACCACGTTTTCTATTACTGAGTATTCCCTTCAAGCACTTCACGAAGAACTTTTTCTAGGTATTACGTGAAGTGTTTGGGGGAACTCTCACTAGTAGAAAACGGAGCTTTAAAATTGGTTCGTAAGGGCCTTTAGTGCCGGTTTCATAACCGGCACTAAAGGCCCCCCCCCTTTAGTACCGGTTCGGCACGAACCGGCGCTAAAGTGCCACCACGTGGCGTGAGCTCGCGCCCATTTTTTTTTGAATTTTTTTTTGAAAATTTTGGAAAAAAAATTGATTTTTTTCGATTTTTAATTTTTCTAAATTATTTGATGATTTAGTCTCTAATCACCTCTCTTAACTGCAAAAGTGTGGATCACTCATTCCATAACTTTCCGGCCGGTCACCTATCCTCTCAGTCCCCCAGCCTGAGCACACTTAACTTTTGGAGTTCTATTCCCCCTACATTCCAAGTCTGTACTTGTTGTTTTCCTGACAAATGTAAGCTGTCAATCTTATTAACCCTCAGCAGTTTAGCTTGAGCATTAGATCACACGTTTCATCGTTTGAGTTTGAAACTATTATTCTAAAAAACAGTAATTATTTAGTAACACTAATATTTCTTGAATAAATTTAACCATAGTTTGACCAGATTTGACCAAAATTCAAAAAATTGAAATAATTATTTAGTAACACTAATATTCTTGAATAATTATGTAGTAACATTAATACTTCTTGAATAAGTAGTTTGACCAGATTTAACCAAATTTTTTAAAAAAACTGAAATTTGACCATATCTTTTTTTCCTTTTGGAATTTGAGGATTCTAAAAAATTGCAAACAGGCCATAGGCCGTCTCCATTGGATGCGGATTTTCGTGCTGAATTTTTTGATATATTATACATTTTTTTCCGACATCGTATGCAAAAGTTATAGCCGTTTTACATTTTCCCTACACTTTTTGCAAAACATGTCCAAATTTAAGTTTTCAAATTTTCCTAACTAGTAGATGTAGTAATATAACTACCTCTCGAAGGATTTTATTTTTTGAAGTTTTTATCATTTTCTTTT